CCTCTACTCTGTTACCAACTTATCACCATATATATATATATATATATATATATGCGCCACGTACTCAGATTAATTGGTCAGACATCTGCTTCTCATTTGTAAATCTCATTTGGTCTGGGGTTCGATTCTCACCGAGTGTAGGATGGACACTCGAATTCTTAGGAGCATAAGTAATGATCATGACTCGTATATTAGCCTCCAGTCATTCCTTTATATGTGTGTGTGTGTGTGTGTGTGTGTGTGTGTGTATGTATGTAAATACGCAAGTTTACATGTTAGATATGTAAATAAATATGAATTATGTGTTATGTTTCTAAATACACGATCCAATAATTTATAATCATGAGAAATAATAACGTCCTACCTGAAAATCTTTGTTGACTGCCATCCCAATTGCACAAAAAACCGTAGCAGAAAGCCCAATAACAAACTGCATCTCCATAATGAGTGCATAAGTCACCTCCTGCGCTGCGCGCATGTACATAAGTTCTACAAGCGGCAACACCAACGCATATATTACGGAAGCCACAAGTTTCATTATAAAGCCGAGATAGTATTTGGCCTCCGATTCACCATCTGGTCTATCGCCATTCGCGTGCACGGCGAGCACCACCGCACCCAACGTCAGCAGCACCACCGAATTTACTGTGAAAGAGTTGAATTTATGCTTCACGATGAAGAAGGCGAAGACTGCGGTGAAGCCGAGCTGCAATGAGATGAGGAGGGAAGCGGTGGAGACCGGAAGAGAAGAGAGACCGTATGAGTAGAGGTAGTCGGCAATGCCTGTAAAAAATAACCCACATAAATCCTTAATAATAACATAATATTACGTGTGGAGTTCACTCACACACACACACACACACACACATATATATAACTAGTACATTCTCAACGGTGTACAATATAATTTTACAAAAAATATGTTCCATGCCTAATCTTTTACCCTTAATAATCAACAGCTTGTTGAAATTCACATTATTTATGCTGCAAGCCTCACCTGTGATGAGGCCGATAATGGTGCAGTGGAGAAGGAGAGTGGGAGTGAGTAAGAAGCGGCGACGATTGGTACGGCTGTGACGACAAAAGAAGGAGAAGAAGATGGGGACGAGGAGGAAGGGAAAGCCGGCTGTTTGAAGGAAGGCATTGAACCATTTGCGTTTGCCGCCATGGAGAAAGTAGAATCGGAGAATGAGGGGGCCGCCGCTGCCGCCGATGAGGATGAGGACGATGTTGAGGAAGAGGAGGATGAATTTAGATATCTTCTTCCCTTTGAGTTCTCGAAGGATTTGATGGATATGATCGTTGTTGTTGGAGCTGATGATTTCTTCATGGCGGCTATCATCTTCTATTTCCATACTTATTTGATTGTTTCAGTTGTCGAGTAACAGAAAAGATTGTTTTTTCCTAATGAAAAAAGAAATAATGATCGGCTTAAATGATAAAAATATGTAGAAGTAAAGGGGAAAAAAGATTAGTAAATTCGGTTAAGCTGAAACTTATGATCTTAGGGGTAATTAGCTGTAGTTGCCCGTTTTTATACCTTCAATTGTCATTATATTTGTTTGGTGTAATTAATTAATTAATGAGATTCTTTGTGAATTGAGTGGGGGAATAATGTTAAAATTGTTCTAATGCACAGCTCATCAGAATAAGATGCTTTTACCCTTTACTTTTGTTGTTGTTTTTCTTTTATTCTTTTTAAAACATTTGTGGTCGCCACTCGACAGTTTGTATATTTATTCCCATAATTTTCTTATTTAAATAAATTTCCCTCCCGAATCAAATCAATGATTCAAAGATGAGAGAACTAAAAAAGAATGCTATATGATAACAAATAGGCAAAAAAATAAAAAAAAATAACTGAAAGATTTATATATGTGTAATCCTCTTGTGATAGACCAAAAATATACATTCAAACATGATCAAATCGAAGTGCTTAGAAACACAGCTTCCACGAAAAAAATTCCATACATAAACCACCTGTAATCAGATAACCAACAAAAATATTTTTTTTTCCCGGGGTCAAGAGTCTCCCAGAAGAACATATCTATCTAGTTAATTACATCTTAGGGAAAAACCCAAAAATACTCTCCATAAAAAGTGTTTCACTTATATTATCAAGAACTTGGGTAATCAAGTCGTCAAGATGATATCAACAAAGTCAAAAAAGAGATAGGACTCAAAAAAGCTCCTCAAGAGAAATGACTGAGTAATCCTAAAAGAACATAGATGTAGTCGAGTCGAGATACCACCGACCCGTCATCCCAAGCTACTAGGATCCCGAGTCTACCCGGTCGTGAAAATAGTCATCCTAACACTTCCAGAGTTCCTCGGTCAACAATCTGTGAATCACATTATCCACGAGAACTTCGGTAGCCTTAAGGTCAAATGAACAAAACTCTATTTTATGACGATAGGTGGAGCTCCAAAAGGTGAGACTTATACCCGCTGAAGTGACACTAATGCTAAATAAGAATAAGAAAATGGAGGTTCAGCTACCAAGCTGGAAAATACTATTAACAAAAGGACTTACACCACTTTGGGTCGGAAGCCTTCTAACACCCTAAATGCATTAGACAATCGTAAAAGTAGAGACATATGTTGGGTCAATCATGTATGAAGAAGCAAAGAGACTTCTCCTCTGATATATATAAATATGATGCAATTATTTATCACAATCATATGGCATGAATGCCCTATAAATCATGATTGGGTGTATAGTCATGTCGTGTGAACTATTTTAAAATCGGGTCGAATGCCATTTAAAAAAAAAAGTGCAGGTTTTAAAAGTCCATAATATTTTAACCATAAATTTTAATTATCTTAAATCTTTTATTATTAAGATTTTGTAGAAAAATTAAAATTTTAAGGGTCCTTAAGTAGCATATATTGCATTTGTGATTTCCAGACAACCCACATAAAGAAACAATAAAATCTATTTCAAGCATGCAAACATATAATAGAAAGCAGAAAAATAAGTCAAATCAAAATAATAATAATAAATTTGTGTCGTTAGGTTGTCAAACATACAAAAAAAAGACGGTCGGACTCCACATATATATACTCGGCCCTAAATCTATACATCAATATCAAATACAAAATTAAGACACGAGCATCTACTGCTGATCCCTAGCTACGCAGTTACAATGCCAAAACACCTCAAAACTTGTGCCACTATCTTATTTATGTTACAAGACTCTCATAAGGATGTGTCGATTAGATATGATAGGAGATTTGGAGTAGTCAACATGGCACTTTACTTTGGAAGTGCATGGGTCAGTTCACAGGGATGTGTATATTTTGATATGGTAGGAGATTTGGATGGTAGAAGAAGTATAACGTGATATGCCTTCACTTTAGGGAACACAATGGTGAGTTAAACTTCTAAACAAACCCTTAATAATGAGAGAACCTTACTTGCGAAATTCACAGACATGTGGACTCATTGTACAATCATACTGCATATCGTTGTACCCAATGTATTCAGACTTATTGTAAAACCATATTATATATATCATTATACACATAGGTATAACCGTATAAAATGTGGTTGTACAAGGACTGTGCATTCATTCATGCATGCGAACTTCGTACCTAATATTTTATCCTTAATAATCAACAACTAGTTGAGATTCAAGTTATTTATGCTTCACACCTCACCTTTGATGAGGGCTAGAATGGTGCAGTAGAGAAGGAAAGCGGGCGTGAGCAACAGAGAAAATTGTTTTTGCCTAATCATACAAATTTTTAATGATTAGCTTAAACGATAAAAAAATGTAAAAATACAGAGTAAAAAATATGAATAAACTGTACCTTAAAAGACCTTTCTAATGAATTATTAAACTCACGGTAGAAATAAAGAAATGAAGGAAAAGACAAAAATGCTTTATTCCCTTCGCCAGCTTCTCCAATACAAAAGTATGAAGACAAGGAACCACAAACACCTACACGATTAGGAACAAGTAAAGTCAACAAATCACCATTTTAAAATCTATGACTAAAGTTAAAACAAAATAATAATAAAGAATTTGTCAAAAAATACAACAACATTAAATATAGATTTACTTGTTTTACTAAAGGGAGCGCCTAATCTAAATTAGCATTAAATTTGATTGAGATTAATTTTATGAGCAAGGGTTATGCCTGAGATGGGCAATTGCACCCCTTAGAATTTGGGATTTCTCTATATAAATAGTAAAATTTAATATTTTTTTCTTATATAGTTTAAACAATTTGGTAATTTTGCCCCTTTCTGATATATTTTTTTAACCCAATATTTAAAAAAAAAATAGACATTTAGTGATTTTAACTGCCGTATAAAATAATAGTGATTTTGCTTTGTAATTATGGATCTTGATGGATCACAAAAGATTATACCTAGTTAAATTTGGCTGAGCTTGATTTCATTTGACTTGGCTCATTTTGACTCTTTTTGAAAAAAAAAAAAATTAGAATGACAACACATCCGTGGCATGATCAATGAAGAAAAGTTAAAATGTGGATGTACAGAATATGTTCTTCCTACTTATTGGGACAATTTACTAAAAAAAAAATTTAGATATGTTTAAGAAAATAAATAGTCAACATGTTCTTAAATTTCTTTTTTGTCACGAAGCGTGTGAAAATGAAATTATCCAAGCTATCAAAACAAAAATTTATGTATTTTATTCTAGAGGTATTTGCATATACAACACTCAATGCTTTATGTGTTTATCCATTTCAACTTGTCATTTGTATAGGTGTTGATTTTGTAAAATAAGAGTGAGTTTAAGATGAGTAAATACATAAGAGTTGGGTGTTGTTTATGTAAATTTCCGTTTATTACATCTTTCATGTACAACAAAATCTCATATATTATTTAAATTATTGTATAATATAAACAATTTTACTGTCTATGAAGTCCAAATATATCATAATAAAGAGATTGGAAAACTATAGAAAATAATAAAGAGTTATTAGAGGGTTATTACGAGAGTCATTATAAGAGGTTATTGAAGTGAAACTGTAGAGTTTATTGAAGGATTATTGTAGCATTATTGGATCAATAACACTGAAATAGTACCCAATAACCCCAAAATAACACCAAATTTACTTCAAATCTATCAAATTTGGTGTTATTTTAAAGATATTGGAGGTAACATTTCAATGGTATTAACTCCAATAACTTCTTCTTAATAACCCATATTAATACTACGCGGTGAACGGTCTCAGTAACTTCTGCAGTTTCAATTTAGTAACTAGCTAATATTTTTAATAATTTATGATGTGGGTTAGCATAGCACACTCGTCACTCATGACATATTGGAGTCCGTAGGAAAAAATTTCGGGGCATCTGATACAGAAAATGGTACGGATCGAGGTAAAGGGGGCGACGGCGGAGGAGGAGCATCAGTTCCTCTACAATTGTCCGTGCGAGTCGAGCATTGCCGACATAGCCGACGCTATCGTGGAGATCTATAATCTTCAGACTTGGATCCGAGCTCTCTGCATCCATGTCCGGCAACACCTTCTCACCGATGCTTTTAGAGGTGTCCTCACCCTCAATTTCTGCATTCCATCTATGCCTTCGCATTCAGATTTCGCACAGCTTGCTGCTCACAATTTTACAAAGTTGCAAGTGTTAAAATATTCTACCTTTTTTGTTTAACTTGAGGGGCTATAGGGTTTCCGGCAGTTCTTTTTTTTTGGAAG